AGGATGAATCTCGTGGCTCCTATTCCTGAGCTGCCCCCAAAGTGCAGCAGCAGGACAGTGAGTACCCCTCTGGGGACTTTGAGCTGTTCCAGGAATGGGAAGGACCTACTGAGAGGCAGGATAATGGGATTCGGCAACCAGAATAGTACAAAAACAACCAGCATAAGAGCCAAAGCCACAGATTTGGTCTCTCCTAAGGCAAAGTGCTGCTTCACACAGCCCTGCCAGTCCTGGGCACAGACACCTCTCCCAACGCCGGGCATGCTGGGCACAGCTCTCCCAGCCCCAGGCACTGTGGGCACAGCATCACCGGCTCTGCCAGCCCTGCACAACATCCAGCACTCTCAGCCTCTCTGCGCCTTGCTCAGGCTGGAGTCATTTCCACTGCTGCATTCGTGGGAATGGGCTCAAGGCCGGGGCTGGGAAAGAAGCAGGGAGGGTGGGACGGTCACAGCGTGGGCTGCAGGCTGCCGGGGCAGACTCGCTAGTGAACATTTGTCCAGGGATCAGCGAGCGGCCAAAGGACACGCTGTGAAAACAAGCCGAGACGGGAGGAGGTGCAGCTGGGCTGCTGGCGTGTGGGAGGGAGGACGGCGCCAGCGAGGCCTCTGCATTTGCTTCCCATTTCCTCGGGAGCTGGTGAGAGCCCTCCCGCTGCCCGCATGGATCACGAGTATTGCAAGGGCTCAGGCACCAGAGGTCGTGCGGGTGGGCAGAGGCTTGGTCGTGGGTACCAGGCTGGGGTGCCCAGCGGAACCCACCGCAGGACTGGCCCTTGGCTCCAAGCCAGCATCCCGGTGCCAGCTGGGACCAGCTGGGCAGCCCCCTATCCCAACCAGCCGCCAATTGATCCTGTAATTGTGTTAGTTCACCTAGCAGCTTCAGGTTTTTCATAGCTCCCCTGGGTGCAGGGGAAGATGAGCTCAAGGCTGTGACCTTTTTTAATTGCATAGTCACCTCTGAAATGCACCCAAGAGTTGTGGCTCTTGCGTCTCTTAATGGACACCAGGGCCAGGAGAGGGAGTTGAGGGCAGGGAGGAGGACAGTGTGACGGTGTCCTGGCATCAGCACAATGGATCAATTCCTCTGTGATACTGGTGAGCAGGAAGGGACAGATGTGGAGCTGAGCCCAGAGGGACCCCACCACTCTGCACCCAGAGTAGCAGCTCTTCATCTGCACCTTGAGATGTCTCTTGCCATCTGTGCTCAGCCGGGCCAACCTGCAAAGGTAACCAGCAGGTCCAGCTTTGCATCTCACATTCCCCAGAGCAGTTTCCCAACCTAACCCTAACCCTCCAGCCAGCCTCAGACAGCAAGGCTGGGAGTCAGGGTGCTGGGGAGAAAGTCCAGCAAAAGGCAGAGCTTCTGGAGGCCACCCGGGTGCCCCTGGGGCTCCTCACCCCATGAGCTCACCCTCCTCTGCTGCTCCTGTTCTCCATGTCCTGTTTGTCCCGAGCAGCTGCTGGGACAGGCTGCAAGGGCCTCTTGCCCTGCCCCTCTGCCGGCACAGAGCCACCATTCAGATCCCCCAAGGCTCTGCCCGAGGTCACCATTCTTGCATTTTTATTTTTACTTTTCTGCAAAATCAACCCCTCAGCTCTCTGTGTCCCCTTTTGTCTCCCACGAGGCCCCCAGACTGTCACAAGCTGGCGTGCTGCGAGAGGAGCCCGCCTGTCTGGGGGAACGCAGCCCTTGGCAGGGGGAGACACACTGAGTGCAGTGCTGCTCCCAAGGGTCCCCGGGGATGTCACTGGGATGTTGGGGTGGAGGGAGTGTGAGAGCAGTGAGCCTAGCATCAGGGTTGGTCTCTGGAGCTGGTGCTTGTGGGAACCCTGGAGGCTCCTGCCCACATCCAGGGGCCATCCCCACATCTGCTGCTGGCTGTGCCCCACGGGGCTCTGGCTGTGTGAGCTCTGGGGTCCCCGGGTGTCCCCGCTGCCCGTTGGATGAAGTGGTCAGGGCTGGCGTCAGCAGTGACCCCATGCTGGCCCAGAGCCCTCCCAGCTCCAGGAGCAGCCGAGGCTGGGTCATGCTGAGCCTGCAGCTGGAAAAACAAACGTGGAGGAACCCCCACATGTTCCTCAGCTGTATTTTTAGTTGCTGCTGGGTCAGAGGTTGTCAGAGATGTGGAGGTGGCAGTGGACAGCATCAGGCTTTGGCACCACACGTGGTGGAGTGGGCAGGAGCCGCAGCTCCCCACACCTTGATGACAGGGTTTCTCCAAGCTCTGGTCAAGTCCCTGTTGGTCTAGGGCCAACCACAGTTGCCACTGGTCCTGACCACAGCCCAGTTCTGTGGGTGACAATAGACTTGTCCTGTGTGGAAATGGGTAAGGGATGTTTTATTTTGGGCTGACAACTTCTCTTTCCAAGTTCTCTCCAAACCCAGCCACGCTGCTCTCACTTTTCTCGCTGAGTCAACAGGTTTTCCCTGGTACTTCCCCAGCCCACATACACCTGCTGGTGGAAAGCTGGAGAGCCACAGCAATCATTCCTCTGGCACAGGCACAAGCTGCCCGGGGAATTCCCGGGCTGGTAGTGCCACCAGGGAACACAGATGTGCCCGGATTTCCTTGCAGATAGCAAAAATATCTGGTGTGCTTGCTCGCAGCCCCAACCCAGCTCCTGTTGTCCCTGGGTAGCCCCAGCACGTGGCTGCAGGGTGGCTTGAGCCATGGCATCATGAGAGATATGTGGAAAGAGCTGGGACAGGATGGGGAACTGCCCACACGTGCTGAGGAGCGTGTGGGGCCAGAGGGACTCCGGCCCTGGGGAGCGGGGGTGGCTTACGGACAGTGGAGAGAGGGGTCTTGACCTGCAGTCCTGGGCAAAGGACAGCAGCAGCACAGGACTCCTGCAAGTTCCTGTTCTCCTGGGCTCGTGGTTCCCATCTGACCATTCCCATTCTTTCTCCAGCAGCCTGGGGGAGCCAGCCTTTCCCCAGTGGAGCAGACCCCACACTCCCAGAAGAGGCAGAGCAGCTCGGCAGCAGAAGCCTTTACCTGTCCAAAGGGTGGCGTCAGGCAGGACAGGATTTCATGTTCCATCCCCTCTGTCACCACTTGCAGGAAGCACTCCTGGGACTGGCACATATGTTGAGCTTTAGATGTGGTTTTGGCTGTTCCTTGCCAAACACAATAGTGTTTGGTCAGAGTTCAGCTCTTTGAAGGCTTTTTTTCACTTCAAAATTTGCTCAAAGCCTGGGGCAAGACTTCCTGGTTTTGCTTCCTCTCTGCACTATTCCCTATAAAATTTCATTTCTCCTTATGGAACAGTTCTGGTTTCCCCATACTCCTCCTGAACTTCTTGAATGTTGTTTTGACACAGGTCTTCAGAGAGATGGGATTGTCACCATGGGAGGTTTGGGAGGTCCTGCTGCAAACTGAGCCCGACCCAGCTAAGGGCTGATGATGGGTGATAGGGAGAGTCACAATGCCAAGGAGGCTGTGAGTGGGGATTTGGCCTTTTGCCTTTCTCCTCTGCTCTTGGATGTTTCTTTCTGGGCAAAAGGAGCTCTGAGCAAAAGGAGCTCAGCCCATGGGCCTCTAGCTCCCAGCAATGGATTGGGTTGGCACTGATGGAGTCACAGCCTGTGGGTGGTGATGGTGGGTGCCTCTGGGACACAGCTCTGCCCTGGGTCATTTGTCCCTCTCTGCTGGCACCATCCTTGCCACGTCCCTGTTTCCCAAGTCCCAGAGCTGACAGTGACTGCAGTGCCTCTTTCCAAGGCTGTAGCCACTCATAAAAGCCCAGTGGGCATTTGCTGGGCATCTGCCAGGCAGCCTGCAAGTAAGACTGCTGCAAACTCGTGGAACAAAATGCAAAGGGGAACAGAATGCCTTGATCTCTCCATCTTCAATCTCCACGTGCTGAGTTCCTCCAGTATGGACTCCATGATCTCATCCCTTGGGGTCTCCTGAGGCTGCAGCACGGAGGGATTGCTGTGCTTGAGCAACAGAAGCATTTCACAACAACTTTGTTTGGCTCAAGGATGTTGCCTCTGGCAGTCAGGACTTCCCTGGATCCTGCATGAGATCTGCCCGCATCAGCAGCTGTGGGTTTCCTGTGCCTGGAACCCAACAGGAAATGAAAGTAACTCAAGCATTTCTTCTTCCCTCACTTTTGTCCTGCAAGGAGAGACCAGCCAGCCAAGCTCTCCTGGCTGGAGGGGCTCAGGGGTGTTCTCCCCTCACACCTGCCTGGCTGCACCCAGCTCCTGCCCCTGTCTCCAGCCATTGTGACAAGAGCTGTGACATATCAGGCCTCAGAAGTGCTGTCTTTGGAGCTTGATCCTGGGCTGATGGATGTCTCCTCCTGTGCATGGCTGCTCTGTGCAGGAGCCCTGTGACAGGTTCTGGAGGTGCAGGGCACCCCACTGAAGTTGCCCTGGTGCAGCTGCCCAGCCCAGCTGGGTGCTCCTTTGCCAGCCCTGCTGGGTGTGGGGGTCTCTGGGGTCTGCTCACATGAGGTGACAAGCTGTGACCTGCCTTCTTTGCCCACTGCTGTGCCCCTAGGATGCTCTGGTGCCATTGGCAGGTCTGTGGTGTGACAGAAGCAGCTCACAGAGTAGCCAGGAGAGCCATGGGACAGAGATGGAGAGCAGCAGGGCTGGGACATTGCTCCTGGGCAGCCTGGGCTGCTCCCAGCTTTTGCCAGGTACAGGCTGCAGGAATGTGGCTCTGTCAGGCTCAGCTGGCAGTGCCAAACCCAGCTCTGCTCCACTGAGGATGCCACAGGCAGGGATTGCTGGCACTGACAGAGAGCTGGAAACCAGGCTGTTGCCCCCCCGTTTCCAGTGCCCCTTCCCTGCCTTTGGTGAGAGGCACCAGGTGTGCCTCTGTACTGGGCCATGCCATGGTGCCAGCAGCACAGCGGAGCAGGGCAGTGGCCAAGCAGGAAGTCCTGGGGCTTCCTGGCTGTGTGGCCCCCTGGGTCCACACATCTCCTCTGCCCGTGGTTCCTGTTTTGGCAGGGATATAAAGGTGGTGTGGGCAGGGAGAGCCCAGCCCAGCCCAGCACTGCAGGAAGCCAGGATGGGAGTGCAGAGCCTGGCAGTGGCTTGCGGGACACTGGCCTTGTGCCTGGCACTCACCACAGCCACCAACCCCGGCTTTGTGGTGAGGATCACCCAGGCAGGCTTGGACTACGGTGGGTTCTGCTTCTGATTTCTCTCCTCACAGATGTGCTGGTGGCAGAGGTGTGGAGCCAGGTACCCTGGGAGAAGTGCAGGGTCCCAGGGCAGGATGGGGGATCCTTGGCTGTGGGTGGCCATGTGAGGAGCACAGGGGCAGGATGGGGAAATCCTAGGACAGGGGTGCCAAATGCACCATTTTCCAGGGCTTCCCCTGTTGCACCTGCATGCCCCCCAGCCCACATCGTGATGGAGGATCTGCAGAGGGATCAGCACTGTGGAGTCTCAGGGAGCTGCAGCCAGGCAGTGTCGGGGGCCAGCACAGCAGGAG